ATGGTGAACCGAAAGGCGGTCTTGCGCTTGGTGGCGTCGCTGAGATCGCTCATTTTGCTCTCAAAACAATCACTGGCTTGTGTTTAAAGTTCTTCCCTGTGGGAATTGTGCACAGGCAAATTCCAGAATCAAATTTCCTTGTGTGCGCGTTTCTATAGCGCACAGGGAAAGTCCACAAGAATTTTGTGTTAGCAAAATCGCTCTATCGTTCACTGCCAATTATTCACGAATCATAAGAAAGGTTTTGCAACCCATCCTTACATTATCCTCATCCTCACAATTTCGACAATTCATGGTGTGGAGATAATGATGCAGACACCTGGTTTTGTGTTTTGCAAATCATTGGCGTCCGTGTCATCACAAATCTTCCGGATATGGTTTCGGGGTTTCTGAAAATTCCACCTGTTTCGCGCCAAACGGCGGCGCGATGGCCATCTTCCAGAAGGAACTCATACTGCTGCCCGCAATGTCCAGGACGCGACGCCAACGCGAGATAATTCTTGCACTGTTGGCTGAGCGAGTCGTGGAACGTCCATTAATCCCGGCTGTTCGCTTCTCGATTGACGCAATGACGGACGCAAACGCACTGTCAGATTATCAGTTCGACGTCGCCGGCATCAAAGAGTTGGGCTTTGCCCTTGGTCTACCCGCTGTAATTGTCACTGAGACGAGAAATCGAGTTCACCGAGATGAAGCAATGTGCATCGTGCTGGGCCATTTGACTATTCCGGTTCGCCTCCACACCATGTCGACAACGTTTGGCAGATCACGATCCTCCTTGTGCGAAATTTTTCACCACGTCATCATTAAACTATACGACCGGTGGGGCTCGCTGCTCTACCTCAACAAGAAGTTGCTTGCCCAGAACATGGATCGGTACTGTGACGCTGTAACTGCCAAGGGGGCGCCGTTGTCCAACGTGTTCGGTTTTATCGACGGCACGACGCTCCAGACGTGCCGCATATCCTCGACCGGCAGTGGCGAAAACTTGCAGTGGCAAGTTTACTGTGGTCACAAGCGAATCCACTGCCTCAACTACCAGGCAGTGACAGCACCCGATGGCATTTGCTTGCACTTTTTTGGCCCCGTTGAAGGTCGCCAACACGATGCCACGATGCTGCGACATAGTGGCTTGATGGAACAATTCGCTAATGATCGTTTCTTGTTTGAAGGTAAGGTCATGTATGGTGATCTCGCCTATGGCATTATGCCATTCTTGCTTTCTGGCTTTAAGGGAAACAGTTTGACGGCAAAGAGGCAAGAGTTCAATAAGTGGATGAGTTGAGTGAGGCAGTCCGTGGAATGGAACTTCAAGATATTGAAGTCGTTGTGGGCATACATCACGTTCAAGACGTTGTCAAAGATTCGACTATCGCCGGTTGCAATAGTCGTTGCTGTTGCGATGCTTTTGACTAATTGCCATTGCTGCTACTTTGAAAAAATCAAATCAGCCAGTTCTTTGGGTTGAAGCCGCCAACAGTTCGAGAATATCTAGACACATTGGAGATAATTGACATCTAATACAGTTTGTGTTTGCTTGCCATCGACATACCTTATAGAGACACTTACAGCACGGCTTAGGATTATGATTTATTTATCATCATCCTGATCAACGTGTTCATTGATTCTTGTTGCTGGCGCATATGCTCCGCCATGATCTCGCGGTCTTTGCGTCGTTCTTCGTATTCTTTGTCGAATTTCTCCTTCTGAAATTCAAGTTCTGCCTTGGCTTGTTCATGCATGAGGGCAGATACTCTCATGAATTTACCTCCACCAGCACCACTATCTTCCTCGTCCCTCTCACGCTTCCGCTTCCCCATGGACTTCATGGCCTCGGCTCTTATAAAGCTCCCCATTGCTTCGGCATGGTCAGCAGCCTCTCGGGTTTCGTCCGCCCGCTGAGCCTCGACCATTTTGGTGTCGTCGTACGCAACCATCAAGTCGTCCAGAAAATTCGTCTTCTCTCCGACTTCGTCGGACACACCAGATGCGCATTGGGACTCCTTGTTGATTCTGTGGTGGCCGTCCAACAACAGCATGAAGCGATTGCATGCACGTTTGGCGTCGATGTCGTCCCGGGTGAACTCGCCCGAACCCAGCAGCGCCGATGCGACGTCTGCCCACCGTTCCATAACTTGGCCACGGCGCGCCTGGAAGGGCATTTCAAGCGATACCTGGCGCAGTAGCATGATGTCTTCCTGCTCGGTAAAGTTGCGTCGCATGGTCTGTGTCGACATGCCTTCGCTTGTGAGGATAAAGATGGAAGTCACCACAGCACACGAAATCCAGTGGAATTTCATTCGTTTTCACATTATCATTAACAATGTTCTGGAGGCACACTTCCGATTTTGTCAATTTCTCAGGGGGTGGTGATAATGATGAGTTGCAAAACCTTGCTATTAATCTCCATATTCGACAATCTGCCACTGAATGTGGTAAAGTGGGCGTCCATGATGCCAGTTCGAGTCCACAGTTCGTCACTGTGGACTGCGGCGTCATAGACCGCCACGCTTCCTTGGCCTATCCCATTGCAACATCAAGAGGTAATTCATATAACCGGATATGTCAACCGGCAATGACCTCGTTGATCTGCTCTAGGGCATTTTGAAACCGGCGGTGC